AAAGTTATACTACGTGCACAATTTTCAGCCTAATGGTCGAGATAATTCATTTAAAAATGCTAGTGATTTCATGTCTCAAGCTTCAGTAAAGTTGAAGAAAAGCCTATTTATCTAAATACTACATGCCTCTAATAAGATGATTAAACCAATATTTGGGAAAATAAGGTTTTCCATAAAATATGCAAGTTAGCATATTATAGCACTTACATGTATCAAACCAATAAAGTATTGTGAATACCCCGTAAAGTTGGCTTTCCTGTCAAGATTCAAAGATTTTAATTGTGCTCTACCACAATTTATGAAATAGATGCTCAAATAAAGTTGCGAGTAGATGATGAGTAAGATACATCTTCTTCTTTGTTTATTTCTAAATGAAATAAAAAAATATTTCTATAGGAAACAAATGAATCTAGAAGGCTTATATTGGATGGTTTGTTATCCCAAAATGAAAAGGGAGATAATGAATAGTTGGAAATGACAATACATGAATGCATCTCAAATAGATCCTCATATTTATATATGAACTATATATGTGAACAAGAAATTCATAAAATGTTGCATTTGTAAAATATTGGAAAACAACTGCTAGAAAATATTGATGCCATGAAAATTATTTTCCATTTGGCAATGCTCCAAAATATAAAGGAAAAAATGAATCATGCCTGATGTATGAAAGGCAAATTGGTTCCAAAGAGAGAAAACTTTATAGAAAAAGAAAAGATGAGCATATAATTAAGATAATTATATTAAGGAGGTTCTCATTCCATAGGAGACCAAGACATAATTGGCTTTAAATCTCCAAAAGATGATCAAATACCTAATAACAATAAAGAGATCTTAATAAGTTATGTCAATATGAGAAATGATGGAATAAAAAAAATAAAATTATCGACAATACTTTCAATGAAAATGAAATAATATAATCAAATAATGCAATACAAGGAGAATTATATTCACTTATTCATGATATGAAAGTTGTGAATTTATAGTCCAAGCATTTGAAGTACGATATTATATATGAGTACTTGTGAAAAAAAAGAAATATGAAATGTCAGATGCAATGTTTAACTTTTAATTTTAAAATATCTTACAAAGATTCAAAATATGCATCAATATATTATTTTGTGGTGGGTGAAATATTTTTTTGACATGCTATTAATTTAACAGTATAGAAATTTGAAATGCTTCTAATAGATGCTACCTCATTTATATGGCTCATTGTGTAGTGATATTTACTCGAAAATCCAAAAAAGGATTCAATATGATGAGAAATTTTCTTTGTTATTATGTTTGTTCATATGATTATATATATATATATATATATAAATTGATTTGCATAATAAATTCATTGATTTCATATTATTGAATATTTTGAAAAGTTTATATGAATGCTTGATTGTTAAAAAAAGATGGTAAAATAATGAGTAATTAGATGTGAATTAAGATCATTTTTTCTTCAAGATGATAATGAAATATGCCTCAAGCACCATATATGAATGCTTTCATATTACAATTTATGATATTGCATTGATTTGCAACAAAGTATGTATTTGATATGATATGTTTGAGGAATTATTATGTATGATTGCTTTACTAAACTTATTTAAGATCAAAATTAATTGTTTGAATCACATGAGTCGAAAATACATGTATATCAAGATTGGTTTGCTACTCCTACAAAACATATGACAAGTGAAAAATGTGTTCAAATTTAGAAAATATGTATAGAGAAGATATTTCAAAATATTATGTGAAGACAATGATTCACATATAGTCTAGCCATAAGAGAAAATCAACTTGTAAAGGCATCAACAACAATAATATTTAAGAATTGATACATACATAGGTTCATGGCACAATGACTCTAGAAGACTCAAAAATAGTGATATCGTCATTGGAGGAAGTAAAAGTTACACTATACTCTTTTTTCTTTAACTAAGGTTTTATCTCACTAGATTTTTTTAAAAAAGTTTTTAATGAGATAGCTTCAATAAAGTTGAAGACATTATGTATTCTTTTTCATTCACTAAATTTTTGTCCTAATGGGTTTTTTTATTAAGGTTTTTAACAAGGCACAATATATGAATATTGAAGAAAAAGTGTTGTGAATATTAGAAGATTTCATGAATATCTATGTCTATCAATTACTTCGATACCTTTTGGTTAATCCAATATCTTTTGATTATTATTATTTTATATATTTTATTTGATTTAATCAGTTACATACAAATTTATAAATATAAGACAATACTTCAGCTGTATTCAACATATTGAAATTAGAAAACTCTCAATTCTCTTATCCTTCTATTATCTTATTATGTTTTTCTTTTCTCTCCTCCTCTCTATCTCTATTTTCATAACAAATATTTTATTCTCTGAATTAACTAATAGTTAACATAGGGACCTTTTGGTAAAATAATGGGACTTGCAATTCAATTTCAGAAAAAAGCTTTAAATATTGACTGCCGAGTTTTGTTTTTTGGGCCAAAATATTGACTGCCGCGTTAGTTTTCTTCTTTCTGACATGGTTCTGTTATAAGATTTTTGATATATTATATTAATATCCTTGCCTAAATAAAATGTTACGGATGCTAATCTAGGATTCTAGGTAAGTATATACAATGATTATCCTTTAATGTTTAAAAAATCTTATAATTCATAGAATTACTTGATAATATTGGATTATAAAATTTGTTGTATATGATATTACTTAAAACAACATTATTTCATAACAAGTCAAAATGAGTATATTTTTCTTAAAAAAAAAAAAACCGACAAAGGGCGTGCAGCTGGAACGGAGTCAGTTCAAAAGATATTTGAAATTTGTTGGATGGGTATAACTGAGAGGTAAAATTTCCGACGACTGATAGAGGGATCTAACATTGAAATCAATTTTGACAAGTCACTCTTCTCAGCTTATAGCAAAATGTGATCATAGTCCAGATAATTGATTATAACAAAATGGGAGTGTTTGGATAATTTTTATCAAAACCATAATTTTAGATTATATAATCGATTTTGGCACTTATCCAAACAGGCATGACATTAAATTAAGTTGATATCGGGAAGAAAATCATGACATACAAAATCAAGAAATTATCTTTTGCATTGAAGGTGCCTTTCTAAGACAAGAAATATCTCATTTGTTCCGTGGATTCTGATTATAATTAATTAAAACAAATTGATGTAACAAAATCGATATCATTTTGCCGCTGTGATTTCTTCTCTTTTTTAAAATGTATCCCTCGTGAAGGTTTTTTTTTTCCGTAATTTTTAAAAAGAAAATATTTTTCTAAAAATGCTAAAAAATTCACCCTTCCCCCGTATATATATATCTACTAGTGTTAATATATAGATTTTTACCTTTGAATTTTCATAGAGGTGTAATCGTATCTATCTTAAAATATTTTTTTTGATGTAATGTCATCTTAATATTTTTCAAAATGAGATAATGTCAACCTAACATAACGGAATGACCATGTTAACCATTTTTTTAAAAATAGATTCATGAAACTAGTCAACAGAGCATTTTACATTCAAATATAATAACTTAACCGTTAACATGATCACCTTGTGGTGTGAGGGTAAATTGTCTCATTTTAAAAAAGCAAAGTAAATGAGCAAATTGGCCTTGAAATATTTAGAATTTTAAACTTATCTTTTGTACAATATTTCCTTCAATTTTTAAAAATAGTACAATCTAACTCTTGCTATTAATAAAAATTAACTTTGGCTATTAATTGATCAAAGTACATAATACAAAAAAGATATTAAAAATTACAAAAAAATCCAAAAAATGACAAAAGAGGACCAAGAAATTTTTTTTGGTCATTTTATATTATTTTTATTTTCTGATCAACTAATAGATTAAGTTAACTTTTATTAATAACAAAGTCAGATTGTATTATTTTTAAAAGTTGAAGAAAAATGTTATGTAAAAGATAAGTTTAGAGTCCTAAACATTTTTAAATTTATGATTTAGGAATTCAAATTTGTTCATTTATCTTAAAAAGTATCAAAGCGACATTACATTAAAAATATTTTAAAATACCAATTACATGGTAACTCTAGGTTAACCCATTGCTCTGCCATGTTTGGTATGCAAAAATTGTAAGGAGGGAATCAAAATTGGAAACGGATTCTTTGGTGAAACATATATATTTGGTACATGTGAGTCTTGATTATCAAGAATCCATATTTTAAAAAAAAAATTTTGAATTGAATTCCATCGAGGTGATGGTAGAATTGGTACAGTTCTTTGAAATTATTTTTGTTGTACCATTATGCCCTTCATCTCACCTAGTTTTAATTTTGGAAAAATGACACTTTGTTTTTTTTATTTAAAATACTTATACTAATTAACATCATATCAATATTTTATTTTCATACCAAACATATATACTTTTAAAATTCAATTATATTTCAATTTTAATTTCAATTCTAATTTTAATTTTATCAAAAAATTTTCAATCATAACCCCATCTCTCTGTATATAAATAAGGAAAACAGAAAAGAAGTTGTTTGAAAGTTGAAACTGGATTGAGAACTTTTGGTAGAAGAGAGTTGACAGAACATTGACAATCCGTTATATTGAATGCAACAAAACAGGAAAAGGAATAGACCTCCATTGAGTCATATAGCACGCAGGCATTGAGGCAAGCTCATCTTTCTCATTCTTCTCCGAAATCCGCTCTCTCCATTCCGCCACGTGTCATCTTCCCTAACCTCTCCTTCTCCTTCACCCTCCTCATTTTCTGTTTCGTTTTCCAATTTCCAATTCCCTATTCTCTTTCTTGCTCCGTTTTTACAAAAATTCAGTTGGCTCCAGCACTTTCTTTTTCTTTTTCACTTTTTTTTTGTGCTGTTTTTTCTTCTTTTGGGAATTCTAATTCCTCTTCTTCATTTCTTGCCGTTATTATTGATCAAGAGGTGCACGTACATTTCCATTGAAGCATCGTTTTCTAGAGTTTTCTCTGACCTTGACGGAGAATTACGATATTTCTCACTCTCTTTTGTGTTCTCAATTATATTTGTAAATCCTGTTGCCTCCATTTTCTATTCGCGCTACTTAAAGTTTGTATATCCTCAATCACACACGCACTCTCTCTCTCTCTCTCTCTCTCTCTTCCCTCTCATCAGAAAGTGCGTATTGAAGCGTGGCGATTTAGTTCTCCTGTTGTTCCTTGTTTTTGTTGCTTTTATCCGTTGAATTTCTTGGACCTTCACGTCTGGAAAATTAGGATTTACACTTTCTTGATTTTTAATTCGTCAATCTTGTTGGTTTGGCTTCATGCACTTCACCAAAAAGTTCTGGTAATTTCAAATCCCCCCCCCCCTTAAATCTCTCATACATTATAAAGTGCATGCATTTTGTAGCATGAATTTTATGATGCCATCAGTTTGGTTTCCGGAAAAACATCTGAATGTTGAGTTGTTTCCTGTATAGTTTAAGATGGACGCCAAGGACAGATAACGTTGACGATCGATCATCTGGACGGAGACGACGAGGGGAAGAAAAATAATTGATTAAATCACTGCCTGAAGGTAGTCGCCGACGCCAATGACGAATCACGACTTGGCCCCGCAATCACTGACGAGACGGCCGTCAAGAAGCGCGGCCACCACCTTCTCCACCGAGGTCTTTGACAATGAAGTCGTTCCTTCCTCCCTCGCCTCCATCGCACCCATTCTCCGAGTCGCCAATGAGATTGAAGCCGAGCGCCCCCGAGTTGCCTATCTATGTAATCGATACGATCACAAATTAATTCAATTTTGAACCCTCCTCTGTACATTATCACACAAATTAATTGGATATTGGTTTATTTGTTTTAATCTGGAAGGTCGCTTCTATGCTTTCGAAAAGGCGCACAGGTTGGATCAAAGCTCCAGCGGGCGTGGCGTTAGGCAGTTCAAGACCTTACTGTTGCAGCGATTGGAGAGGGTAAATAAAACCGTTCCTCTTCATTTATCTCACGTTAGTTTATAATCAGACCATTAATAAATGGATGGACAGTGCGGAACACAGTTTTTTCTTGATGTGCCAAACACATTTAATTGCGAACGAGTGACCAATGGCCTGGAGAGTAGGATTAAAAAAGAGAAAATGGTCCCAATAATGAGGTACTACAATATGTTAAGCTTTTATTATGTAATTAACTAATTATATATGGTATCAACTAACAGGTGACAATATAATGTTTATTGGTTAAATTCATCTTAATATCTCGTCAAATCAAATCATATATTAAAAGAAGTCCCAAAAAAAATTATGCATTAAGTTGTAACGACCATTGTGCATAACTGGATAGGGAAATTTCTGCCTGGCTCACTATAAAGTGAAAGTTTTATGAATTTAGAATGCTTGGTGGAGTACATCCAAACACTCACCTTTGAAGATTAAAAAGAAAAATTCAACACTCTTGTTTTTTTTTTTAATACCTCTAATCTCTAAGTAGAAAGAGAGGTTAAGAGTAAGATTTATGCTTTATTAAGAGTAAGATTTATTCTTTATTTTTATTAAAATTTGAATTCTCTCAAATTAATCAAACAGTTTAATATCTTTTAAACAGTGAGAGTGATGCTGTAATACAGTGGATTAGTATGTTCCTATAATTTATTTTTCTTTACATGTTTTATTTTCCCTCATTTTAGATATATTTTGTTGGATTTGACTTCCTTATCATTCGCTCTAATTATAATTTTTTATTTACTTATCCAACTAATTTACGCCACAACCCTACAACGGCCACAGCTGTGACAGAGCTTATCATAAACCTAATAAAGAATAATATTATTACTTATCTCAATTTTACACCCAATTCAGACTAGTTTGTATTTAAATCTAACTATTAATTTTTTTAAGTCAATGATGTTGACCGGATTTTTCTCAGACATAGTTTTGACCTGCTACAGTTATTATTGGCCTAGAAATAACATGTGAACAGAGATTCGTCATGTAATTTAAGAAGGGCAAGTGAGTAGGTAACTGTTTCTTTTTCCCCCTCATTTCAACTCACTATGCGTCCAACTCCAGGACAATGCATCCAGTCTTGCCTCTCGGGTTAAGAAGACAGATGCGAGAGAAATCCAGGGTTATTATAAGCAGTACTATGAACAATATGTCAGAGCACTAGACCAGGGGGAGCAGGCTGACCGGTACATACATGTTCGAATTCATGCAAGATTATTTGTTTTTACTTAGTTTGAATATTCTCTCTGGTTCTCAATTGTAGAAGTTTTCCCTAAATTGCTTGTATGCTAAGTAGCAAACTTTGTTCGCTACTTCTTTTACAGAGCACAGCTCGGTAAGGCTTACCAGACCGCCGGGGTTCTTTTCGAAGTGCTTTGTGCCGTCAATCAAACTGAGAAGGTTGAAGAAGTAGCTCCTGAGGTAAGCCTCGATTCACATAATTTCAGATTCGTTTCACATACTATATATATATATATATAGTATATATAGTTTCACTCATTTTTCCTTGGAATCTCTAAATCCTGGAGATGTAACAGGTGTAAATTTTTTGTAAGCAGATTATCGCGGCTGCTAGAGATGTCCAGGAAAGGACAGAATATTATGCACCTTACAACATTCTTCCCCTGGATTCTGCTGGGGCTTCTCAGCCTATTATGCAGCTTGAAGAGGTAATCTTTCTGCAGTATTTATGTTGGATATTCCTTCCTGTTTCATTTGGCATTGCATTTGAATCCTTTGACTCTCTCATATTAGATCAAGGCAGCTGTTTCGGCGCTAGGGAACACTCGTGGCTTGAACTGGCCTAATTCGTTTGAGCAACAAAGGCAGAAAGCTGGAGATTTAGACCTGCTTGATTGGCTTAGAGCCATGTTCGGGTTCCAGGCATGTAATCCGCTCAAAAGAAAAAAAAAAAGGAGAGAATAAAAGATTATGCATGCCTGAATTTTTATTTAACCTCCCTATATTATTAATGGTTTATTTGGATCCAGAGGGACAACGTCAGGAACCAGAGGGAGCATTTGATCCTGCTTCTTGCTAACTCTCATATAAGAATGATTCCCAAACCCGAGCCGCTCAACAAGGCACGTAATACTAAGTTAATTTAGTTCCTCCTATTTGGTGGAAGCATCTTAGGCTAAAATAACATGGAGTTAAAACAGAAACACGGAATACAAAGTTAATTTTGAATTCTCTAGTTAACTGAGTAGCCGTGCCCTTTTTTTTGGCCATGTATTAAATTTGTTTTTGGTCAAATGCAGCTTGATGATCGAGCAGTTGATGCAGTGATGAAAGATCTCTTTAAGAACTACAAAAACTGGTGCAAATTTTTGGGTCGAAAACATAGTTTACGGTGAGATATAAGCTAGCCTGCATCAACGAACATTTATGGCATTTGGCTTATTTCTTATGCTTTTTGGTTGTCGTAAACATTTCAAGAATAAGTCAGAAACTTGTGATGCCAAAATTGTATATCATATATCTTGGTTTTTCACAGACTTCCTCAAGGTCAACAAGAGATACAGCAGAGGAAGTTGCTTTACATGGGTCTTTATCTTCTCATCTGGGGTGAAGCAGCTAATGTTCGCTTCATTCCGGAATGCCTCTGCTATATATTTCACAATGCAAGTACAAACTTCCGTAAATTTCTCACTTTCTTATGCCAGTCAGAAATGTCTTACTAAATGTTACTTGATTTATCCTGGAGGGGTTAATTCAATTTTTTTCAAAATTTGCTAACAATATCTGACAATTACTTTAGATGGCATATGAGCTCCATGGTTTATTGGCCGGAAATGTCAGTATTGTTACTGGTGAAAATATTAAGCCTTCTTATGGGGGTGATGATGAAGCATTTCTGCGCAAGGTTATAACTCCCCTCTACCGAGTAATTGAAAAGGTACGTTGCCGTTCCAACATTTTTGGGGACTATGGAATTTACGTACGCTAACTTTCAATGATGCTGGATGACCTTCCAGGAAGCCGAAAAGAGCAAAAATGGAACAGCTTCTCACACAACTTGGTGCAATTATGATGATCTAAATGAGTATTTCTGGTTCGTTTAGCTTTAGGTCTTCACATGGACAACGACTTTCAGTGTGTTTGGATTAGTTTCTAACTGAAGTTGGGATGAGCTAACTGAGATTAGGATGTAAAAAAGTCAAAAAAATTTGTTTGGATGAGCAAAATATTCCAACCTCAGTTAAGGTCAGAATGAGCTTTTTCTCCAAAGCCACCAGACCTGGCTTCTGCGTTAACGTTGGCATCAGCATTGCTCGTATAGCCGCACTCATGTCTCAATCTCTACTTTCTCCATCCCTTACACAGTTGCACTTTCGGTCTCTCTCTCTCGCACAGACAAAAACATTGCACTCTCGGTTTCTCTCTTGTTTGGTTCTCATGTTGTCAACTGTTGCCCAACTTGCTTGCCATTGCCCCTCACCCAACTCAAACTCTCCATTTTAACTTCCTTCTTCACCACTTGAATCACTTTAATGGTGATCGACGATGAGAGAGAGACGAAAATCAAAAGCCCTCTGTGTCATCTCTGCCTTCTTTCTCGTTTTTAACCGGCGACCATGACAATGTCAGAATCCTCGCATTCCTTCTCTATCCGAGCAACTGTAGGTGTTCGTGTAGTGTGTGTGTTCTCCGATCTGCTTTGTTTGCTCTTCCATGCGTTCTTTGATCTTTATCCATGTAGTTGTGCTGTTCAGGTCTCTGTTTGAAGTCGCGCATGCTTTTCCCTGCTATGCTCTGTTTTGCTATTCCATGTGTTCTCCGATCTTCCCTGCTCTTCTCGATCTTTGTCCGATCTTTGTACTCTCGATCTCTCTCTCACAGAGTCATGGTTGTTGCTCACAACATGATTCAGGCTCACCACACCAGTCACCCTCACGGCCTCACCCCTCGACCTCGACCTTCTTCTTCTTATTTGAGTTCAAGTACTCTCTCTCACTCTCGCTCACGATCACAAACTCATGGCTCACTAGTGGCGGTCACCCCCCTCAACCTTCCCTTCTTCTTCCACCTAGCTTTCTCATCTTCCACAATGTGTGTTGCTGTCGTCCTTTCCCCTTTGCGCTGCTTCTCTCTTCATTATCTCCATCTTCAACAAATTTTTTTAGTTTTTTATAATTAAATATTATGATTTTTTATTAGATAATATTATATAGTTAGAATTGAATTTTTTTATTATTTATTTTTTAAAAAATTAAGATTTTTTAGTTATTAATTATCATTTTAAGTTTAATATTTTTTTACTTTTTAGTTAGTAACAAAAAATAAATAAAAAATTTAGGTTTATTTTTATCATTAAACATCTCAATTGACTTTTATTAAATCATCTAAACAAATTTCAATTTATATAATTTACTGAAAAAAAATATCCAAACATAAATTACATTATATTCATACTTTTTTTATAATTTTAATTTATTAACCTTTAATTAAATTTTAACTTATAAACTTTTTAATCTAAATACACACAAATTGTTTGATGGGTTCATCAGTTCATTAAATATTCGTTTTTCTTGGCATTCTGCTGCAGGTCATCTGATTGCTTTTCTCTTGGATGGCCGATGCGTGATGATGGTGACTTTTTTAAATCAACTTCCAACGTGGCACAGGTACTAGGTACTTATGTGTAGGATAGTAGCCTTCATCATAGATCACTTTTTCGTTCACTAATCACTAATATATAAATTCTGTATCAGGGAAGAAAAGGCGTTCAGAGAAAATCAAGTTCTAGAAGTAGTGGAAAATCAAATTTTATTGAGACTCGGACATTTTGGCATATTTTCCACAGTTTCGATCGTCTTTGGACCTTCTATTTACTGGGTTTGCAGGTATATAATTTAAACGAAAGGAAGTATTAATGTTTCTCTCCTCTGATCATACTTGTGAGAAGGCTTGCATGTTCTTATTGCAGGTAATGATTATTATTGCATGGCGAGGAATTTCAGTAGCGGATATCTTTAAGAAAGATGTCTTATATGATCTATCCAGTATATTCATTACTGCGGCCATTCTGCGCTTCCTGCAAAGTATGATATATAATACTTTCATTTAAATGGCTTTGTATCATGCTACTATCGGATCACTAGTTGCATGCTTAATTTTTATCATTTAATTTGATTGTAACTCTCTGAAGTCATCATGTAAGCGGTAGTAACTCCGTAACCCATAGAAGCACAAAAATTGTATTATTGAATTTTATTCGGGTTTATGGCTGAGATTAGAATAAAAGATTCTAAATGTCTTACTGGAATAAAAAATAAAGTTGTGTTAATTTAACTTCTCTTCATTTTTTTTTTTTTAAAGTAAGTTTGGAAGTGGATTCCATATCTCCTTTGACCCCTGCTTTCATGTCTTTTGTCTTTTGCCCAGATAATTGACCATAGTTTCCATTACTTTTTATGTTGAACCAGGTATCCTGGACTTGATCCTGAACTTTCCGGGCCATCATCGATGGAGATTCAGTGACGTGCTAAGAAATATTCTTAAAATCATCGTTAGTCTTGCATGGGTTATCATTCTTCCAGTCTTCTACGTGAATTCCGTTGACCATCCTCCGCAAAGTATTAAGAAGTTGCTTTCCTTTTTCGATGAAATAAGGAGCATTCCAACATTGTATTTCCTGGCAGTTGCATTATATATTCTTCCGAATTTACTAGCAACTGTACTCTTTCTTTTTCCAATGCTCAGGCGTTGGATCGAAAACTCTGATTGGCATATTGTTAGACTTCTCTTGTGGTGGTCACAGGTATGTTACGGTTGCATCATGCTTACGTAACTCTTTCCCTGGCCAATGCAACCTCTTTCTTCTCTCTTTGTAAATGCTGAAATTTTTTTTGAGGTTACTATTTGTTTATTGCGAAAGCAATGCAAATATATATGCACACTGTCTTGAAATCGGTAGGGGAATGTGTTACAGTAAATTTTGTTTCTTTTCTTTTTCTTAATTATCCTTAAAAGAGACAATCATACATGTATAACGGAAGCAATGTGGAATTCACAGAAGTCTTGCCGTAGCCTATTCCTAATCAATCTGGAAGCTCTAAATTTATATTTTCTTCTTTTCATCTTCTTAACAATTCGTTAGCCTCCTGCAGCCAAGAATCTACATTGGAAGGGGAATGCATGAAAGTCAATTTGCTCTTCTAAAGTAAGTTTTGGAGAACCCTAGTGAATGATGCTCAAATAATCTGTGGTCCTTCCCTGGGCTTTTTATTACCTTAGAATTGTTAAATTATGTGCGTCGATCTTCTTGTATTTCAGGTATACAATTTTCTGGTTGCTGCTTCTTGCTTCCAAATTTGCATTAAGCTTTTTCCTGCAGGTAATTTTGATCACATGCAGTATTTTTTTTTTTTTTTTTTGGAATGCTGGTTTTCAATACTAACTGTGCTCTCTTCCTTATATAGATAAAACCTCTAATTAAACCCACAAAGGAAATAATGAGCATTCGGCGAATTCATTTTGCTTGGCATGAATTTTTCCCTAATGGTAGTATATCTTTTTTTCTTTGTCATGATTTGAATGCATCTGATTGCTTATTCAAGGTTATTGGCTAAATAGTTTCCTTCCTATATATGCAGCTAAATACAACTATGGTGCGGTTTTAGCACTATGGGCTCCTATACTTTTGGTGTGTATGCCATGTTTCCTGTTTTTGTTCGATATTTTAATCTTCTCATCGTTCTGGTTGGCACCTCATCGATTTGATATGTTCAATGTAGGTTTATTTCATGGACACTCAAATTTGGTATGCCATATTCTCAACTTTGTATGGCGGTGTTGTTGGGGCCTTCGATCGTCTAGGAGAGGTAAACATAAACTTTTGCCCCCTTTTTTCAACCTTTCTTGCTATCTTGGATCCCCCCCCCCCTCCAAATCTGTATTTCTATAACAAAATATACTTATACTATTTGTAATTATGGATATTATACAGCTTCATGTAAAGCATGAGACAGTATCGAGACTGTTGTTGGGGTTATAGAGTAGAATATAGATGTTTTATTTTATGGGAGCTTCACATTGCCTTAAATTCATATAAATCCTGCGAAACTGCAATATTTCAACAGCGATTTAATGTTGAACAATTTGCTTATACAGATACGAACGCTGGGCATGCTAAGGTCAAGGTTTCAGTCATTACCTGGAGCATTCAACACATGTTTGGTACCTACAGATATGAAACAGAAAAAGGGATTTTCTTTGTCAAAGCGATTTGCTGAGGTTGCTTTAACTTTTTTTTTTTTGGCTCTAATATCTTGTTGTTAAGTTGATTGCTGTCATTAATATGTCATCTTTACTTAAGTTCCATGTTGTATAGATTTCTGCAAGTAGAAGGATCGAAGCGTCCAAATTTGCCCAGTTATGGAATGAAATTATTTGCAGTTTCCGTGAAGAAGATATTATAAGTGATAGGAAAGACCCGAGATCCAAACTCTATTTATTAGTTGCTTTCTCATTTCATCTTTTTCTTCCATGATCTATCACTTTCGAACCCCGAACTAAACTGCGTTTGCATATTACAGGGAGATGGATCTTTTGTTGGTTCCTTACTCCTCAGATCCCAGCCTGAAAATTATTCAGTGGCCTCCCTTTTTGCTTGCTAGCAAGGCATGTTTTGAGCTTAGTATTTTTCTCTCCCCCTCTTTTAAGAATTATTATTACCAGTCCAGATACATTACCTTCTGACAATCTCTACAGATTCCTGTAGCACTTGACACGGCCGTTCAATTTCGAGGAAGGGAGAGCGACCTTCACAAGCGTATATTTGCGGATGAATATTTGAAATGCGCCGTGATTGAATGCTACGAATCTCTTAAAAATGTCCTAAACACTTTGGTGGTGGGAGAAACTGAAAAGAGGTGCCCTTTGGGTTTCTGAAAATGTCCTAGTGTTCACCTTTAGCTATTTTTCGTTTCCATTTTAATATGAACTATTGCATTTTTTTTAAGTGCAATTAGGTATCCTTTTGGTCAGTTACAAAATTTCCAAATAAATACACAAACCATTACCTGATTTGCACTGATAACAATTGAACTGCTGTGTAAGCTGTTTTCAATTATACATGCATGCAGGCATACAATATATCATTAGCTATACAAACGTATGAATGTATGTATATGACTTGCAAAGTACTCGCTTATATAAATTTTATTCCTTTTATATATTACTTGTCAGAAGGGAAAGTAGTAATGGTTGATCTCCCTAATTTGTTTTTGTTAGACCTTCATCTAAAATAAATAATAATAATAAGGAGAGCTTCATTTTGCATGACCAAGGATTTTTGCTTGGATGAATAAAACTATCAGTTATCAGTTTTTTTTTCCTCACTCTTGTCGTCATTATATATCATTGAGAGAAATTAAAATTCATTAAAATTCCATCATTACCTGGGCTTCTGAACTCATTGGGATGCAACAGGATAATGGCCATCATCATTAATGAAGTCGAGAGTAATATCTCAAAGAATACACTTCTTACAAATTTCAGAATGGGATTTTTGCCTTCCCTTTGTAAGAAGTTCGTGGAGCTCGTGGAAATCTTGGTGAGCAATTTAAACGGGAAAAAAAAAATTGTAGCTTGAAAGGTTTCTTGTCTCATGAAATATTTTATTTGGAATTTTACACACTGTTCTTTATTGTTACAGAAAGCCGCAGATCAATCCAAGCGGGGTGCGGTGGTGCTCTTGCTGCAAGACATTTTAGAAGTGATTACTCGTGATATGATGGTAAATGAAATCAGGTTTGTGAACTTTATTGCACTGAATTGGTGAATAATGTACTTGGAGTATTGTTAAATCATGTTTATTTTTTGGCCAATCTTATATGGCTCCTCCAAAAAAATAATAATTTTCATTTATTTTGATGCGATGCTCTGTAGTGAGCTGCAAGAACTTATACATAACAGTAAGGACACTGGGAGGCAACATTTTGCTGGTACTGATGAAAAACCTGCTATAGTATTCCCTCCTTTGGTTACAGCAAAATGGGAGGAACAGGTAACTTGGTAAATTTTTAACGTTGTTTTTGTACATGATGCTTTTACCAACTGATCCGGTAAACTTCTCATGATGAAATATTTTTGTTGCTTGCAATCGTTTCAGATAAACCGTCTTTATCTACTACTGACGGTAAAGGAATCTGCAATTGAGATTCCAACTAACCTTGAAGCACGCAGAAGGATTGCGTTCTTTACCAATTCCTTGTTCATGGATATGCCACGTGCACCACGAGTACGCAAGATGCTCTCATTCAGGTGGGTAACCTGTTTCCAATAGATCAGGATGGTCTCAACAATATATGTCAGTGTCGTACATCGTATCGTGACCTGTTTTTTTTTTTTTTTTTTGGGCCAAGGTATTGTGACCTGTTGAGCATCATGATTTTTTTGGCAATTATTGGAGCTTAGTGATTCTTAGCCATCAGAATTTTATGACGTCCTGTTTAAACTACTGCGAGAATACTAATTTTCTTTGCATATTTTACTGTCCAAAAAAAGTGGCTACCTTCAGATATTATAACAAGAATTCTTGTTTGCAGCGTCCTGACTCCATACTATAGTGAAGAGACCGTCTACTCAAAGACTGACCTTGAGGTTGAGAATGAAGATGGCGTGTCAATCATATATTACCTGCAAAAGATTTACCCAGGTTTGTAACAAGTAAAGCAGCACAGAAAGATTATACTTTTTGAATGAAGAAAGGCTGGCTATAATCTTATTGCTTTTTAATAGATGAGTGGAATAACTTCATGGAGCGACTTGACTGCAAAAAGGACAGTGAAATATGGGAGAAAGAGGAAAATGTATTGCAGCTTCGTCACTGGGCTTCATTAAGAGGGCAAACTCTTTGCAGAACAGGTAAATATATGATGACTGCTTCCTAATTGTGAGTTGATTAATATTTCACTCTTGTATTTACAAACATATTGCCGCAGTCAGGGGAATGATGTATTACCGTCGGGCTTTGAAGCTTCAGGCTTTTCTTGACATGGCCAATGATAAAGGTAAAATATAGTTTCTTTTACACCTTTTCCATGTTCTTGGGTGTCATATACTAGACTGTCATATTTAAACTTGTATTATCAACTATGGGTGTCATGTACTAGACCGTCATGTACTAGGTTAATTATATTTTCGTTTTATTTTCTTGTTATCAGAGATTCTTGATGGCTATAAAGCTGTCACAGTTCCATCGGAGGAGGACAAAAGGAGCCAGAGATCCTTATATGCCAATCTTGAGGCTGTGGCTGACTTGAAATTCACATACGTTGCTACCTGTCAGAATTATGGGAATCAGAAGCGTAACGGAGACCGGCGTGCAACAGATATCCTGAATTTGATGGTTAAGTATGTTCTCCTGTTGATCAATGATGTCGGGTTTAAAGTGCACATATTTTTGCTTTCAATTCCTGAAGTGCACTTGTTATAAGAATCAAATTTTTGGTTCTTCAATTGTAGCAATCCCTCGCTTCGTGTGGCATATATTGACGAAGTTGAAGAAAGAGAAGGTCAGAAAACACAGAAGGTTTATTATTCTGTATTAATCAAAGCTATGGACAATCTCGATCAAGTAAGTACAAATGGAACTCGGAAAAAATTTATTTACTCATCTTTACCTCAGAAGTAATTGCTTTTATCTTTTTTGGAAGGAAATATATCGAATAAAACTGCCGGGTCCAGCTAAGTTAGGAGAAGGGAAACCAGAAAATCAGAATCATGCCATCATTTTTACTAGAGGGGAAGCTCTTCAGGCTATTGACATGAACCAAGTAAATTATTAAGAATTTGTTACTGTAGTAACAAGTAGATAATGATTAAGATGGCTTACTCACCAATATTTTCTAGGATAATTACATGGAAGAAGCTTTGAAGATGCGTAACCTTCTGGAAGAATTTAATGAGGATCATGGGGTGCGCCGGCCTACAATATTAGGTGTCCGTGAGCATATATTTACTGGCAGGTCTGATCAATTTTCATATGCATAGAGTGAACACATTCTCTTGTTTGGATAATATCTTAATTGTTCCTAATCACTTGTTACAGCGTCTCCTCATTGGCTTGGTTTATGTCAAATCAGGAAACAAGCTTTGTCACAATTGGTCAAAGAGTTCTTGCAAGACCCCTGAAGTAGGATTTTCTCGCATCCATCTCATTGCATGAATGATTTATAATCAAGTACTTTTTTTTTTTTCCTTTTTTCACTTTTATAACAAATTATGAATTATGAATCCCAACAAGGGCTTGACTTAAGGAAGAATTCATCACAAGTTAATGCGGCATTCTTTAAACCTTATAGACTTTGATATGTAGTCGAGTTTTTCAAAGGACGGGGAAAAATATTATTCACGATATACTTGTCCACTTCTCTCCTTTCTCGTCCCTTGCTTGCTTTTCTTGTTAGAGTATCATCTCCCATGCTACTAGAACTTGCAGAAAAAATGAACAAAGAGGAATTCAAATATTCTTTTTCTTCTGCTGCTGTAAGACAAGGAAGGAATTAGAATAGATGCACAATGAAGTATTAGAAACATGTTTTCTGGCTTAAATGGATTTGTTCAACTGTAGGGTTCGGTTTCACTATGGTCACCCAGATGTTTTTGATAGAATTTTCCACATTACACGTGGAGGAATAAGCAAGGCTTCTCGAGGCATCAATCTGAGCGAGGATATTTTTGCTGGTAACATCTTGATACGCATTTCCTATTACTACTTATTATCTGGTTTCTTTTCTTACTTCATATGACTTTTTTTTTTCTTTTTAATAAACATGCTTCACATGACTTTTGCCTCTATAGGTTTCAACTCAACCCTCAGACGCGGCAATATTACTCATCATGAATATATCCAAGTTGGTAAGGGTAGAGATGTTGGGCTCAATCAAATCTCGCTTTTCGAAGCAAAAGTAGCTTGTGGTAATGGAGAGCAGACAATAAGCAGGGACATCTACCGTCTGGGACACCGTTTTGACTTTTTCCGCATGCTGTCGTGTTATTTTACTACTGTTGGATTTTATGTCAGCTCAATGGTAATTTTCTTGCTACAGTTTCCCCGGTGATGTTGTATGCATGTTCTTTTACTTAATAAGATTGAGTTTAATATTTGACATTCAAACCAATGTTAATGATTCTCTGAAAAGATTGATATACCAACAAGAGTGAGGGCAATGGAAATAGATCTGTCATCACTTGGAACTCCAGGCTCTGTTTGTGTCAGTTGTGTGTGTGAGAGAGATATCCCCAACCTGCACAAGGTTTTATTCAAATCAAGGGATCCTGCTGATAGAGAAATTCTGCAACAATGATAGCTTATATTTTCCTTGTGTAATCTATCTTATTTGTCCTAGTTACATGCTTGACTTAATTAGTAGCTCCTCTTCTGCGCCTAGTGGCACTAAGCTTCATTTTTCTTATTTGCAGATGGTGATCTTCATGGTTTATGCGTACCTATATGGCAAACTTTACCTATCTTTAAGTGGACTTGAGAACGACATAGTCAAGTATGCCAGGAGAAAGGGTGATGATGCTCTGAAGGCAGCCATGGCTTCACAATCCATTGTTCAAATCGGTCTTGTGATGACTGTCCCTATGATCATGGAAATTGGACTAGAGAGAGGATTCAGAACTGCTTTAAGTGACTTCATAATAATGCAATTGCAACTAGCAGCTGTTTTCTTCACTTTCTCACTGGGAACGAAGGTGCATTATTTTGGTCGTACTCTCCTGCATGGTGGGGCAAAGTATAGAGCAACTGGCCGTGGTTTTGTGGTCCGGCATGAGAAGTTCGCAGAGAACTACAGAATGCATTCCAGGAGTCACTTTACAAAGGGAATGGAGCTCGCCATTTTGCTTTTATGTTATCGGATTTATGGATCGGCGGCTACCGACTCAATATCATATACCATGATCACACTGTCAATGTGGTTTTTGGTGTGTTCTTTTCTGTTCGCTCCTTTCCTTTTCAATCCTTCAGGATTCGAGTGGCAGAAGATAGTTGAGGATTGGGATGATTGGTCAAAATGGATAAACAGTCACGGTGGTATTGGTGTTCCTGCAAACAAGAGCTGGGAATCGTGGTGGGATGAAGAACAGGAGCACCTGCAGTACACTGGGTTTCTGGGGAGAACGATCGAGATTATTCTTGCCCTGCGCTTCTTTATCTATCAGTATGGAATTGTCTATCATCTAAATGTAGCCAGAGGCGACAAGAGCATAATGGTTAATTATGCTTGTTACTATTCTTGTTTCTTATTTTAATGTCAAACTGTTAAATCTAATGCTTGGCATATAAAACCCGTTTGCTCTTTCTCTTTTATGATTGGGTGCGAAAATTATCATGATTGGACTATAATTTTCTCTTCAGGTTTATGGTCTGTCCTGGTTAGTCATAGTAGCTGTCATGGTCATCTTGAAGGTCGGTAATCAGTAAAAACTGGAGTTCATTCTGGCGAGAACTGTTTTCTCTGCTCGAGCGTAGTTGATTATATCTGATCGATTGATGGCATCTGAAATTGCAGATTGTCTCTTTGGGCAGAAAGAAGTTTAGTGCGGATTTTCAGCTGATGTTTCGTCTTCTGAAATTCTCGCTGTTCACTGGGGCCATTGTCATTCTCGTCTTAATGTTTACTCTGATGGATCTCACAGTTGGAGATATCTTTGCAAGTCTACTAGCCTTTACGCCAACAGGATGGGCACTCGTACAGGTTCTTGTTTAGTAGCCTATGCCATCTTATTTTGGAATATATTTTTCTCCTCGATCACGCTGAAGAAACATCTGAACTTCAATCTTTAACTACATGCTAGACACGAAAACTGAATCACCTATGTGGGGGGGGGGGGGGGAACTGGTGAATATATATCACATAATGATGGGTTTGAGGTTATGTGATGGACAGATAACACAAGCATGCAGGCCAGTGGTGAAGTGGCTTGGAATGTGGGGGTCCGTGAGGGCTTAGCAAGGGGTTATGAATACTTGATGGGGGTAGTGATCTTTGCACCAGTGGCGATATTGGCCTGGTTCCCATTTGTTTCAGAATTCCAGACGAGGCTTCTGTTCAACCAAGCATTCAGCCGAGGGCTTCAGATCCAGAGGATTCTTGCTGGTGGCAAGAAGCACAAGTAGTGACATGACATTCATAATGATCGGAGCACGATGGGGCCGAGAAACAGACATTTTGAAGATAGAAAAGAAAATTTGAAGCAAGCAAATTGATGGTACGCGTAGCCAAAGTACCACATCTATAGATCCACTAAGTCCACTGCTACCTCCCGGTCTGCGGCTTGCTGGTTGAGAAAGATGTGATTTTTTGTTTGCTTGTTTCATTTATTGGTTGGCAAATCCTACAATTCTTTGTCTGTCAATAGATCATTGAATAAAAAATCCTAAGTGTCACTGCCTTCTACCTGACCTCTTTGTTCGTGTTATCTTCCTCCCCTTATCCCTACCCTCTTGAGTCTTGATGGTGATCGTCAACTCAAAAGTGCTGCGCCCTCGTTCTTTTTCAATGGGCCACACTTGTTTGAGTCAGCGCACCATACACACGATACACTATTGTGGCTGACTCACCAACAAGCCATGGACCTAGATGGGCCTTGGGAGTCCATGGAGGTTCTATTCATGAATTTTGTTCATTGGGCCAGAATAATTCATTATTACTATTTTAAATAAATACATAATCATTGGTCTTATAGGTTTTTAAGGTTTTGTTTTTACTTCATATAATTTATTTCTAATGTTTCAGCCACTGTTTTGAAAATCGAATCGGACCGGTCGATCGGACCAATCGGACCGTCGACCGGTCTGGTTTTCGGTCTGATTCAAAAGAAAAAACAGTTTTAAGAGTTGAGCCAGTTTGAGCCGTTTCGAACCGGCGGTTGGATCAGGAACCGAATCCAGTTTTCAAAAATTGGACTGTTAAAAATTTTTTTTTTATTTTTCATCAAATTTTAAAAAAAATGACTAATTTTTTTAATCATTTGATATTATATTGTATCATATGGCTTATTAAGTCATGATAAACTTAAAATATTTAATTTTTTTAAGTTAAATAGCAATTTCATATATATTTTTTATATTTAAATTATTATATATATATATATTTTTTTAATTTAATTATTACGTCACCGTTGGTCTAACCAGTTGAACCATGTAAACCGTGAACCGCTGACTTTTTTGGTTCAATGTTCGGTCTGATTCTGAAAACATTAGTTTTTGCCTTTATAATCCTTATAATTTAACATCATTTCAAAGGAAAACTGTTACTCAATGCTATTAAAATTATGAAGATTGAAAATATTTAAAAAAGTATAGAAATTAAAAGCAAAACTTGATGAAATTATAAAATTAATGGTTATGTTTTCTTTTATTTTAATTTAACCCGCCCTTCTTCTTAAGTTCACCCACAGTACAAGTTATTCCTTGCTCACTGACCACTATAGCATCAAGAGGACGAGCCTAAACGAAAGTAATATTCAAAGAAATAAGTAAATACCAATATGTGAATGAGACACCTTTTAAATCAACTAAATCTACTTAGAAGTTAGAACGTAGAAGCAACCCGTGGGCAAATTTTTTTTTTTTTTTTTCAGTTGGGAATGATTGGATTTGAAAAAGTGAGAAAGGAAAGGGATGCGTTGCGAAGGCAACAAGCAAAGAAATGAAAAGTTTTTTTTTTTTTTTTCCCGACGAAAAGATAGAAAGGGCTTGGAAATTCAAAGTTTGACACTTTGTCGCTAAAATATATAAATGTTTAGTTGTAGAAATGGAGGCCGCCAGTTGCTTTACAGAGTATATTTTATTTTATTAACGAATTAAATTCCGATATGTTCCATTTTATTATATTGTTATATTTAAAGTTTAAAAATACTTAAATAAATCAATTCAGAACTAAACATATTATATGTATTATCTAGAATATTTTTCTATTATTATTGTGTATATATTTCAGTCATTATTAAGAGATATTATTTTATATTATTATTTAATTATTAGTTATTATTGTGTTGTCTATTTGTTAGTATATATAATGTACCCTTCAAATCAGTAATACGCATGACATTTTTCAATCATTATCTGGTTTATCTTTTTTGCCTTTAATAGCTTTCATGATATCAAAGTCATAGAATATTTTTTTTAATGATAAGTCAGTTTTCGAAGAATGTTAGCCTTCCTATGCATTAGTTGCGTCATGAGTTTAGATCCACCTCAAATTTATTTTCGCATATCCATAGGGCAATTTCAATAAATTGGTGTTTGTGGATTCATTAACTATTGGATCGTATTTAAATTTGGTCAGTAGGTAAGGAATATCCAATGTGTGATTTTCAAAGATCAGATTGTTGATTAGTTGCCTAATGTGAAAGTTATTCCGTTCACACTATAGCCTCAAGTTTGGGTATTTTTCATTGAGAGGTTGCTCAATTTGTCTCAGTTACTTTGAATGGTTGCAATTACCATCATAGGTTGGATACCTAGTCTACTTTGAGATCCTCTCTAGTTGAACTTGAAACTTTGCCACACACATTTATTTCCAATTTCTCCCTATCTATTGCCTTTTCTATTCTTATTGATAAACCCTTTTAGTATTCTGACTCTACTTGTTGCAATCATATGACAATCATATTTTGATATCTCCTTCCTTGTTTTGCATCACCTATACACACTATTGATAATTTTCAAATGCACATTAGTTATACTGGTACTGCTTCCTTGTCTTTCCTATTCATTCATGATACATATGTTGCTCTTATCATTAACTTCAACCTTCTTTTGTTGGACTACTTGTTGATATGAGTTATGACATTTATTTAATAAACGTGGTTGTATTATGATGAATTTTTAAACAAGACAGGTTATTGGAATTGAGCACAAAGTTAGTTTTATATTTGAGCTCACTTCAATGCACCTACTTGAGATCACTGCTCCCACATTGTGTGTTGCCTCCACATCCTTCTATCCTAATATTTTCCTTGATTTATGGATCATCATCTTGCTCATCATTCTTTGAGTAAATTGTGTTCTTTAATTTTTAGTGATCTTTTAAATTATGTTCATAATAAGTCTTTACAATGCATTTCTTGTTAGACTACTAAACACTCTACTTTGTCTTTTCCATAAAAATGATTCTATTAACGCTTCTTAATTTGATATGATTCATTATGCTGTCTGGAGTCCTGCATCTACTCCTTCAATAGAGGGATTTTGATACTTTGTCATTTTTTTAATGACTTTTCTCATTTTTCCTAGATTTAAATAATGAAACATTGATCTAAGTTACTAGAACTTTATATCAAATTTGATACTATAATTCACACTCAGTATCCTAAAGTCACTAAAATTTTTCATCATGATAATACTTTAGAATATCATGGCATAAAGTTACCAGAACTTTAGATTACTTAACTTTCTTGATTATCATGGCATTATTTTTCAGTGTTCTTGTCCTTACACTTCTCAACAGAGTAGTAGTACTGAGTGTAAACACCATTATATTCTTGATTCTATTAAAGCATTACTCATTTTCTCTTCTTGTCCTGAATGATTTTGGGGTGAAGTAGACTTAACCTATGTCTTTTGAATTAATTGACTTTTGTCTCTTGTTATTAATAACATTTCTCCTTTTAAGTGTCTCCATGGTTTGCCTCTCAATTAGAGTCTTTTAAAAGTCTTTGTTTGTGCTTGTTTTGTTCTTCTTCCATCTTATGAGACCAACAAACTTCAAGCTCGTACTTATGTCTGTTGTTTTCTTGGTTTTGATTTTAAGCATAAGAGTTATCATTATTGGGATTCTTTCTCTCATCATATTCTCATTTCTCAACATGTTGTCTTTTGGGAAAATATCAAGTCTTCATCTTTAACCGATCTCTCATCATTTTTCTCTTCTTCATCTCCTATTTTTAGATATGTTCTTACTGATATTTTTCCCAGTGACTGAGGCATAGACTTTTCTATTGAGCTTGTTTCTCCAACTCACGCCATGCCTGCTCCAAATGTAAGGTCTCCTTTACATCTCAAAGTATGATTGCCAAGTTGTAAGAATTTCAATTTAGGATTTCAAGTTTTCAAAATTTAAAACTCTTTAAAGTATCTTTGCAAGTCAAAGCAAAATCTCAGTTTAACTAGTATGAAGAAGCATGTGATCTCAAAAAGAATCAAAGTATTGTGTAAAAATTGAAAACAATAGAAGAGTATAAAAGAAAGGTGTGCACTGCAGCTTATATGCTTCTATGCCATGCGTTGCAATACATTACAGGATATTTGACAGTATATGTTTCTGTCATATGATAGCAACTAGGATGAACTTCCAACGCACCCTATTTCTCTATTCTACATTCGATTGAGATGATGTAGGTGTCTATCAAGAGCTTTTTTTTAACTCTAACTATTGGCTTTAGTCTTATGATCAAATTATTTTTTAGTCAAGATTTAGATACTCATTTCACAATTCACTCCTTTTCATCATTGACACATATCTTGGGTGCCCAAAACTCATATTAAGAGTCAAAAGTCTCAAACATACCCTAGACCACACATAGATTATAATGGATATGTGCAATACATCATATATCTAACAACACATATACAACACATTTTTAATACTAAACCCTTTAATTACAAAAAATAAAAAAGGGAGCCTTAAATTCATAAATCATCATATCATTTCACAAAAATCACAATCTTCCTAACTTTCTACTTGCACTAGTATTTTGACCCTATAATGGATTTCACAATCAATATGGATATGCTCTAAGGCCCAAAATACATAATATAATGTCACAATTTCATAGTGCAAGTAAGTTGAAAGCATGAATTTTTTCTAGTTGGCAATATCATGCAAGATTATACACATTAATAAACAAAAGGAATATGAGGCCTATAGATATGATAGCAATCTTATGCCTCAAACTGTTTCCCTTTAGCTTGTCCCGTTGAGCTAGTTCCTGTAATATTAAAGATAAAGGGGTGAATACAATCACTCAGTAACTAAGGTTTATCTAACTCATATTAATCCATGTTAATCAATTTAAATGTAAGGAGCAAAGATAGCATTCTTAAGTCATTTAACATAATCAAAACCACTACTCATATTTTCATTCATAATGTCATATGCTCACAGAATAATGACTTAATAACAAAATTTCACATGGATACAAAACTAATCATATAATTTTCATCGCTAGGGTCATCACAATATAGACAACCATATGCCCTTTTATCACTATATGTATGATCACACTTTCCTTATGTTCTCCTTATGCCTCTAACACAAAAACATAGGCTATAACACATTAGGATTGTCCATAAAACTGAGACTACCCTAACCATTCACAAGGGCTACCCGATGAAGGTCACCTATCTCACTTGTGGTTCACAGTTTCCCCCAGTCATTCTCCCTAAACTAGCTTTCCTATTGAACAAGTAGAAAACTGCTAAGTTCGAGTTCCTTGTTAAACCGATAGGACAATTCCTCATTAAACAAGTGAGACAATATGAATAATAAATTCAGGCTAACCATTGAGCTCTGATGGAAGCCTTACCATGTGAATTTTAATCATATACTCCTCTTTTTAGGCGAACTCCCGTCTCTCATGATCACACAGTGCATTAAAAATGTAATTTTTCATAGCATGCAAATTTTCACTATATAAGAATGCATAACATCATTATCATACTCAAGTCACCATGGGACATCATATAACATATATATTATAATCATTGCATTCCAATTCACTCCACAAACACTAACATCGTTGAACTCCACTAACAATCATATCATTAAACTCCATATAACACATCATTGAACTTCATTACCACACACTTATTATACTCCATGTAGCACAAAATTGTTGAACTCCTTTAACAAGGAACTGTTGAACCTTGAAAAATTAATATGTTGGATTTTCAAATATTTTATGCCTTACTTGCATTTCAAATAATTTAACACATTTCAGTTTATACATGTAAACCAATAAATCAATCAACACATAAAAGTATAAAAAAAATTTCTTTTAATTACTTCAAACTTTTGAGAGGTCAAAGGTTTTGCCCTTCAAACACACACTCTCAAAGCTTCCATGAAGCTGAAATGATGCCAAATATGCTCACTTTAAAATTAATCACAAAATAATTCATCAATACCCCTTTTGTAAAATTTTCACTATCTAGTTCAACAGTTCTTCACTCTCAAGAATCAATCTCCTCAGTGATAAAGGTACCCATAGCGTTTTTTAACTTCTTCCAACTCACATTAACTTCATTAAACCTTCATCTAGCCATTAATGGAGCCACATTGCTCCACTTACCTCATTAGTAGTGGATTTTTGTTTATTTATAGTTTCCAACAACCAAAAACACATGGAGTCATAAATGCTATATTTAAATAGCTCAATCAATTCTTGTTAACTCTATTTAAGTCAATAGGTCTTGACAACTCTTATTAACTCTATTAAATACACTTAACAATTTTATTTTTTTAAAACAAAATATAAACTTTCAAAGATATTTTTCATTTAATAATCTTAAATCTATACTTAACTAGTATTAAATAGAGAGAGAGAAAGGGTATTATGGGAATAAGCCTATTTAATAAAATCTTAATTTTTTTTAAAGTGTTTTATATTTTGAAAAAGTAAATTTTTCTCAAAAGTATTTTATAGTTTGGGACAAAGAGAGTATTAAGTTCTTGTAATTTATTTTATTTTAATCAATTCCTTCTAATTTGATCAATTAACTATGTTAATCCTTGAATGTTAAAATTATTAATGAATGATTAGCTTTTTCAAAACAAAAATACTTTTAAAATTTACAAGAAATTTAACTTAACACTTTTGCCCAAAAAGAATAAAATTTATTTGAATTCAATGCTTACATTTTAATTAAAATTTTTATGAAAATTATATATATATATATATATATATAAAGTTATTTTGGAGACATAATGTAATTATATAAATTTTGTGCTATAAAAATTATGCAATTAATTCTAAATTTAAATAATACTTTAATAAAAATATAAAATATTTTATTTTATTTTTTAAAAGAAAAAATTCAAAAATTATAACCTTTGGAAATTAACATATTTAATAAATCCAACATAAAGCTTGACTAAAATAAAATATAAGTACCTAATTTATAATTGAGACAAACTATAAATACCTATAAATTAATTTGTCATGTTAAATATATTATACTAAAAACGGCATTGCAATAATGAAAAATCCTAATGGTAAATTACTTATTTAAATGTCAGAGGGATTTTTTTATATAAAATCAAAAGTTCTGAAAAAATTTGTATAATTTGTATAATTAGGCTTACAATAACAAATATTAATGTCGTTCGGCCAAAAAAAAATTAAAAAAAAAACTATGAAGGCCCAGGATAAACAGGTATAAATGTGAGTTTGTCATATTGCACATCATCTTGAAAATAAATTATACTGTTACAAATTTAATTTATTTTTTTAAATTGAAAGGTGATATATAAATAAACGAGACTTGATATGATAATAAATAAAATATCTTGTAAAAGCTTACTTATAAAACGATAAAGGCCTTTGCTAAAAAAAAAAAAAAACCAATAAAAGCCACATCCAACGAAACAAACCACCATACTCTGTCACTCTCGCTCTCTCTCCCCGGTAAAAAGAATCTCCCTCGTGACCTGCAACGATGCCACCATAGCTCCTTCTCTCTTCAGTTCGTTCTGTCTCTCTCTCTCTCTCTCTCTAAAAGATTCCTTCCATGGACCATTCATCCCGCCGCAAGCCGAGCTCACGGCGGCTGCCTCATACTTCCCATCCGCCTCGACGCCGGGCGTGGTGTTGCTCGTTTACAGTTCCACCTTCTAGCCCCGACAACCTTTCCGTACACCACCCAAAACCCCTTCATACCAACCCCCGTAATTTCTCCAAGCCGAGTTTCTCTGTCCCGACCTCACCTCAGAGCGCCAAATCCGGGTTCGGCAGAGTGGGTCGGATCGACCCGCGTCGGATCTTGTCCCCTGGTAGAGTATCGCCGATTGATTCTGATCCCGCACTTGATTCCATCCAAGATATCCTTGTCGTTCCCTCTCCATTGGCTGATTCCATTTCCACGCCCAAATCACGCTCTCAGAGCTTCCGTGCTCCTTCCGGGAAATTTCAACCCCCGCCGGAGTGTTCTGGCTCTGTTAGCGGTACGAAGGATTTGTTTGATGTGAGGTTGAATTTGAAAGGAAAGAATGGTGGCTGCATGGTTCTGGAGCTGAACTCGGATGTTCTGAACGCCAATTCCGAGGTTTTTGCTGAATTAATAGCGAATCACAAGAAGGGATTGCCCTCAGGCACTTCCCCTGGGCCGAAAATATGCAGAATAGAGGTGCCAGAGGTGGAGAATTTTGGAGTTTTCAAGGAGACCATTGAACTCATGTTTGAGGAGGAAATTACGAAGCGCCTCACAAAGATTGGCGTTTATCGATCCATTGACATTTTGGAGGTTAGTATCTAGTACGTTTAGCCTAAGCTTAATGTTTTTTTTTTTTTTTTAATATTTCATATCTTTCCCCGTATTTCCTGTTCAGCTGCGTGTATCGTTTAAGGGTTTTGAGTTCACTGTTTTATAACTATCCCTGTATATTAAATATTTTCCCCGACCTTCTTGATGACATCGCCTGTGCTGCGTGCTTTTGTTGAATGACCTTTGTGGGACGATGATGCCATGGTAACTTGTCAAAGCATAAGAATATCCAATGTAGTTTTCAAAGGGTAGATTTCTGGGGAAGTTGATTTGTACATAGACTTGAATGCTGTGGTCATTAATCTTAGATATAGTTACCAGCTAGAATTAGAATTAGGAACCTATCTGAGGAAGATGTGGATAAAGCTTGGGGGCTTGAGACAAGTCATGGCATAAGATTGGGAGTATCTTATAGCTATGCATGGTAGCATGTTCACCATACAAATATTATGGAGAGGAAAACGTAGGCACGCAAAAAGTTTCTTTTCCGTGTCACGTTTTTAATTGCTGTGCATAAATTGTTTTCATTATGATTGGTTCCAAGAGCAGGGCATAATATCAAATAGAAGCATCCTGTGCCATAAGTAAAGCAATATAGGACCAAAAAAATAGAAAATATGCAATGGAGCCTTGAAGTAACTTTGGTGTTTAAGGAACTATATAAAATTGCTGAGCATTGCATATGTGTCTCTTTAATCTCTGACATGTTTGCCCTCTCCCATTCCTAGGTGTCAGCAGGTATCAAATTCACCAAGGGTGTTCTGTCCTGCTTGAAATACCTGGAGGCTGTTCCTTGGACTGAGGAGGAAGAAGAGAAGTTGAGGAGTCTATTCACCAGGCTTAGGTTCGATGATGCGACAACCAGAGACATCTTAGGAAGACTATACTCCAATGATTCAGTAGATTCCCAGTCTAATAGTAATATAGCGGAGCAGCTTGTTTGGTCCATCACTTCTTGTGTGGATAACAATGCAAGAAATGAACTTAAGTTGCTGGTCAAGAGTCTTCTTTGCAGAAGTTCAGTCTATGAGAAGAATCATCTTGACCTCAGCAAGGAGGACTTGTATGCCGTTAGCCAGTCATGTCTGAGTTCACTTGTCAGCCTCTTCGAGGAGGCAACTGACAGCCTCCCTTCTGAAAGGTTGGTAAAGAAAGACGTAGGTAAACCTCTGATTGAACGCATCTCCAGGCAGGTTGATAACATAAACTGGTTGCTGGAAATCATGCTTGATGGGCAAGTGGCAGAAGACTTTGTCGATATTTGGGCGCAGCAGCAGCAACTGCTCAAACTGCATGAAATTGCATCCCCCATGATCAGATATGAACTTAGTCGAGTGTCAGCAATGCTACTTGTCGCGATGGGTACCCGAAAATTGCAATGCAGGTTAGAAGCCAGATCAGGGCTTCTCCAAGCATGGTTTGGACCAATGCTGTTGGACTTTGGTTGGCTGCAGAGATGCAGAAAGGGACTTGCAATAAAGACCTTGGAAGAGGCTATGGGTCAGACACTTCTTACTCTACCTCTAAAGCAACAGTACATGCTGTTCATGGATTGGTTTCATTACTTCTCCAAGCATGGCACTGAATGCCCAAACCTCAGCAAGGCATTCCAAATATGGTGGCGCCGATCATTCTTTAGAGGCTCAGAAACTGATGCCATTGAATCAAGGTAGATGGTAGTAGTATTGGTATTTGTGATTTTCATTTTCTACCGTGTGTAGAGCCTCAGTTAGGCGAGAAATTCTGAAGCATGTAAACTGAATAAAGCAGATAAACCCCTTGGAGTCATTGTATTGGTAGCTTGATGCTTAAATGATATCAGAGTTTCTAGAATTTTTCTTCCATTAATTGCCTGACGAAGGCTATGCAATCAAGTATCTCGTTCTGATGTTTTATCGTTGATTTGCAATTGAGTAGCAAATTATCAATCTGTAATTTTCTGAGGCTAATTACACTTGTTATTGCATGGGATATGTCTAAAAGCAACTTAATGAAACGCGAGGTGTTGTACCAAAATCATCATGACGTTAGAGAATTACTGAAAAGGTATGGTGGGTCAGTTTAGGCGGGACAAAGGGACTGTGGAGTGAGAAGTGCATCGCATTGAATATTGAATGTACTAAATGTTAGTTGGCCGAAGGTTAAAAAAAAAAAGTGGAAAATATAAATTGACACCCCAATTGTTATAATTTTTTGATTCAAAATAACTTAATTTTTATAATTTTTCACTCAGTACTACATAATTTCTATAATTCATTTATTCAGTAAATTACAAAGATTTAAAGTTGTATTTATTTAAAATTAAAGGATAAATTAAACTGTTCTACCAACAATAAAGAATAATATTTGAACCTCAATCGTTTATTTAAGTGATGAAATTTTTTACCATTAGCATGAATTTTAGTTTGTTAAAGTTACAAAAATTAAATATATATTTTTATCTTATTATTTTATATTTTTTTATCTTTGCAATAATTTCTGAATTAGTATTTTTTGCTTAGTGTTGCAGAAAATATTAGACACTCAAGATTTTTATTTAAATATAAAAAAATTAATATGTCAGTCCTTATTGTTCTCTCAATTTTAAATTAAGTTGTTACTCTCCATGTTCAAAAAGATAAAATATTTTTTAAAAAATTAGATATTAAAAAATATAAAGTATTTTTAATTTTTTAAAGTGTAATCATTATCTTTTTTAAAAACATCCCTATTGATAATAATTTTATATTTATTATAATATATTTAATAAAAATAAATATAAAAAAATAAGATTAATTAAAAAATAAGTAACTATTTTATTGAACATAAAATTCAATTAAAAATGTCTTATATTTTTAAATATATAATTTATTTTTTATTTGAATTAAACCCTTATAATTTGATTCATTATATATATTCATCCTTAAAAATTGAAATCATTAATGATAAATTAATTTTTGCAAGACAAAAATATTTTTGAATTTTATACAAATTTGATATAATATTTTTGACAAAAAATTGATTTAATATAATATTTACATTCTCATTAATTTTTTTATAAAAATTATATACATACATACATACATACATACATACATACATACATAAGACTTGTTATCCTACAGCAACGCCTGCTACAATTAGAAAATTTAATATTCATTTATTATTTAAATTTTGCATTTCAGTAATTTCATGAAATTTTTTGAAAGGATATTATCGGAGTTTAAAACTAAATTTTATTTTTAAATGCATTCATTTGTGTACTTTAAATTATAAAAATTATATAATTAATTAATTGTCTAATAAAAATATAGAAGTGCTTAAATTTCATCATTTTTTTTAAAGGAACATTCAAGGATTTTAACTTTCAAAAATTGACAGATTTAACAAATTTAACAATCAAACTACAAGCACTCAACTATAAGAACCTAATTTAAAATTAATAAAAGCTATACAACCAGTACAATGTACATTAACTTTTCGTTTTCTTTATAATCCAATTCTAATAGGGGCAGTCAGAAGCTATAGTATGATATAAGCCTCTGCATATTTCAATGATCTTACCGGGACATGTGCAACAACAAACAATACAAGTCCGCCTACTCACCAAAATATAACCCCGGATATAAAAAATGTTCATCCAGCAATATCAACATATAAGAACCAGATTTGAACATTCACATCAGGTGACATCATGTCCATTTATTATACAAGTGCTCCAAATAGAAACAAGGTCATGATAACATTAAAGGATAATATAATTTTTAGTTCATAACTTTTCTCTTAATTATTGATTTAGTCCTTTAACTTTAAATCAGTACAATTCAATCCTTATAATGTATTAAGTCAGTGAAGAAACTATAGAGATTGAATTGTTAATGATCCAAAATTCATGGACGAATTGATAATTAAGAAAAAAATTTAGAGGCTAAGTCATTTTTCCTAGAATTAAAAATGAAAGGTGCAGCATGTAAAACTGTGAAAAATGTCTCATCTATGAATTCACAGACCATTCTTCTTCTGGAAGAAATGGACCCCACTTCCAGGTTCAGTCTGGCGGGACATTGGTGCCAAGGTCCCGCAACTCCAAGAAATCATCAAACACCATGGACATACTACCAGCACCATAGATTTGGTTTGTATTGTTAAGGTCTCCCAAGTCCTCGAAAATATCTTCAGTATCCTTGTCCATAGCAGAGTTACCATTCTCCTGAGAAACCATGAGAAACGCACCATGTTTGCATCACATTGATTCCGCAGAAACAGGATGAAGTAAAGCAAGCATATAGTTGCTCAAAATACAGCTTTCTACTTATTGTAAAGACTACCTTGCAACTCTCAGCAACCTACAAGAACTGCCAAACAGGACAGAGAAAGCTATCCAAGCTCGAGAATATATATATATATATATATGACAATTAATAGATCAGAAAAAAGCTAAGAACTTTCAGATGTAAGTATCAAACAAAGTATTGCACAGCACAAGCATTACAGCAGAAATAGGCATAAGCTATCAAGCAAAGGAAAAAAGTTACACAAGCATCAGAGAAGTTAGTAAATAATGAGGCAGAGGAAGGTAAAGATGGTATCTGCCAAGCAGAAAGCCCTACTCAAATAGTCTGGCTAATACCAACTATGCTAGGTACACAATCCTTCTTTCAGCCCATCACTAGGCTTAAGATTCAATTAACAAGATATCCAGAGATAATTCATCGAAACATCATCTTTCAAGACTTCATTCCAAACAATCCGTCTTCTTGTCATCTGGACCGATCACATAAAGATTCAAAACATATATTCATGATAAGAAAAAAATAAGCATGAATTTATTGATAAAATATTTAAGTCACTACAAAACCAAAGTGAATGCGTAAAGAATGAATACTAAGTAAAAGGTGGAAGAAAATGGAAAAGAAAACTATAGAAAAAATATTCAAGTGCAAAATGTAAGGGCCACACGAAGTTGTCGAAAACATGCCATTGAGAAGTAACTGCACTTAGTTTAGCAAAAAAAAAAAAAAAATAGAATACTTGTACCGAGACTTTACAAAAGAATGCACAAGAAAGAAGAAAAAGAAATAGATTGTGCACCTCGTTGTTGTTCTCATTCACAGCCACTGTGTCATTCTCTGTGAAACAATCCAACATTGCAAATAGACTGTGCACCTCGTTGTTGTTTTCATTCACAGCTACTGTGTCATTCTCTGTGAAACAATCCAACATTGCAACAATATCATCATCAGCTGGAACTTGAGGCCCATCATTGGGTATAACTTGATCACTTGGAACTGAAGGATACATAAGACATGACTCTGGTGATGATCCAATGCATACACTCGCAGGGGGATGACCGTAAGTTGCTATAGAACTGCCAGGTGTATTAGAAATGGTAATTGGTGCATGCACACTAACTAATGGGAGAGATCCTAAACCGTCAATTTCTCCGTCATCATCCCAGTCTTCATCATTGAATGGTCTTCCATATTGTGCACCATTCCTTGGACCAGGACCATCTTTTTGGAAAACCTTACAAAGCACATAGGAATCCTGCAATATGCATGAACCAAGAGAACAAATTAAAAAATATTCTTGGCATGTCAATTCAAAATATACAAAAACATATAGAAATAAAAAAGAGAAAATGGTGTTTCCATGCGTCAAAGGTGCAACGTATCAATTAAAGGCACCACATGGTGAATGCAGACATAACCCTCAATTCCCATGTGACATCCAAACTTGCAGCATATCTTATTCATATGAATCAATTTTATGGTTTTAAGATGAAACAACATAGAACCTCCGTTAATGCCATAAACAAGAGGCCGTATCCGATTCAGGTAGTTCAGGCATCAAGATACGCTCATTAACAAAAGTTTTTCTTCAAGTAAGACATAGTAAGACATATATCAACATCAGCAATTTATACTAGGGATATCTCGTCAGGCAGGAACCCCTCAAATAATTTTCACAAGAGAACTTATTGGTACATGTATTTCCTCAATCACAGTAGTAAGATTACTTCACAATATACGGCAGCTATGTAGCAAGGCCCTATATCACCCAAAATAAAAACAGATAAAGAGAAGAATAAAACTCCAGTTACCTGTGGAATGCCTTTATCAATCAAATCCTCATCTTGGAGCCTAAATTCATGCATGACCCAATTAGTTCTCTCTCCTTGAGGAGCTCTGCCAGTGTGAAATATCAGGGTTTTTATCATTCCCACAATTCGATCCCTGTCATGAACAGGTCTATCCCTCCCAGTAGTTTTCCAGTATCCGACTTCCGTAGCACGATTCATTCTGGCCCCACTGGCATATTTCTTTTCTCTGGGGCAAAAGAAGAACCATTCCAAATCTCCGGTTCTAAGATAAGATTTATCTGAAAGGCAAAGAAATTAGGGAACATAAGACAGAAAGAAGACCCACAAAAAACAAAATAAGACCCTAAAAAGGCACTCAGGAAAGGAAAAAAATATGTTGCGTACCTGGGAGATCCCATGGAGCGTACTTGTATATTGCTACTTCTGCGATCACACCACCCGGGATTTTCTTACCCATAACCTTCCTCTTCAGAAAGAATCTGAGGAGCTCAACATCAGTAGGATGAAATCGAAACCCAGGAATCAATTTTCTCGTAGCCATCAATAAATCTACAAAGAAGCCTCGGAGCCAAGTAACTTCAACGTCCTACTATCTAAACAACAATCTTCTCACAAACAGTGAAGAAAACAAATCTGACTGGCTAGTGAAACCCCGAACCCCAAATATGAAACACTTGAAGGGAAAAAACAATCGAAGAGAAAAGAAGAAAATCAGGAACCCCGTGTATGTCAAGTCCAATGCCGAAACAAAATCTTCCCCGTACACCAAAGCCTCCCCCGGTTCATGAAGCTAAAATGGCACCCAACAATGGATGTCGATCCCTTTTGGAGATAAAAAGACATCTGCACAATGGAACCCTACAATGGAAATCATTAGACGCAGAACAAGGGCAAAGCTTTCGCATCGAAAAACAAATTTCATGAGAAAAACTGGAAATTTCTGCAGCGATTAGTTCTGGGCGTGATTGATTTCACTTGCGGCTACTGTTAGTAGTCCAACTAAGTGGACTTGAACAATCAACCTCATAGATGGCGGGAGATGAAGCACGAAGCTTACCAGGGAAGGAGGCGGGCAAGACTCTCCAGACACACCAAATGCTGAACTCTGACAGAGAAAAAATATAGCGAAGGTGAGGGATTTTATAGTGGACAAGTAAGTGACTGGACCCTCTCTTACCGCGTTACGTCGCGAAGCCCAATTTCCTAAAAATTTCAAAAAATGTTTCCTTTTTTCTTGTTTAAACTATTCCCTGGTATTTTTTTTCAAAAGATTAGATATAAAAAAAAAAGAACAAGGTATTTTTAATATTTTAAAATATAATTATTATTTTTAAAAAAATTAATAAATAAATTACTTTATATTTATTTTATAATAAAATATTTTTTAAATAAAAATAAATATGAAAAGATAATGCTAGTTTAAAAGTAAACAATTGCTTTATTTTAAATAAAATTTAATTAAAAATACCTCATATTTTTAAATAAAGAAGTATATATTTTTCATATTTGTTAAATCGTTAATTATTATTATTTTAAATTTTAATTATTATTAAATTTTAATTGTAAATTTAATTTATGATTAGGCAAAGTTGGAGAATTTTTTTCATTTTAATACATATTTAATAAATTAAATGTTATTTCTTAATTTTTTTAATTATTAGAAGTTCCTTATAATAAAAGTTGTAAGAAGTATTAGTTAATTGTAGTACTGGGTGAAGTAGAAATCCAAAAAAATTACATTTCATTTTTCAATTAATGATGAATAGTACTTCATTCGTTAAAAAATATAAAAATATAAAATATTTTTAATAAAATCTTATTCTAATAAATTAATTAATTATTTTTAAATTAATACTATCTTTCTATATTCATCATTATTTAATAGAATGTTTTATTTAAAAATAAATAAAAAATAATTTATTTATTAAGAATACTTTAGAAAAAAGCAAATTAATTATAAAATGTACATTTTTGAAGAAGAATGTAATATAATATAAATTATTTTAAATTACAAAATGTCATTGACTCTGCTTAGTGCATAGCGCTGCTTAAGGATGTTTTTTAATTTCAATGATTTATTTAGTTTTAGTTATTTAGGCATGCTAAGAATTGTTTTCATTTCTAATACATGAAATAAATCGTTCAAATTAGTTAAAGATCAAATATATACTCAAAATGAAATATTAGAAAATTTAAACTTAAAAGTTATCCATCTTTATATTTTCATTTTTTACTAAAAAATTTAATTTCATTTTTATTGAGAAAAATTGAATAAGGTTATTTAAGTTATTTTTATTGCAATTATAATAATTTGAATATGGTTAATATTTTAGCACCCACACAGACACACACATAGAATTATAGTAAAATAAGTAAAATGTCCTATATTTTTAAGTGAAGAATTGAAATTATTTAAAATTTAAAACTTAATTATAAACGTCACTTAATTTCTTCATCATATCATTTCATTTCATAACATACTTTAAGTGAATCTCTACTACTTTTAATTTCAATTTTTGAGAAAACCAAGTATATTAAATTGTAAACAACGGACCAACCATGTGTCAACTATGTTTAAATATTTTTTAAATTTTTTATAATTTTAAAAATGACAAATAATACTAGGATCCAAAATATATAAATTTCCTAGACATACTTGAAGTTGTCGGATTCTATTTAAGACTATGTTTAAGTTTGGTAATCAATTTACAAGTTTATTCTAGATTGAGAATCAAATAAAATATTGAAAGTAGCAAATAATTTCTGAAGAGAATGTTTATGAATGTGAGTTGGATTTAAAATTAAAATTTGCCGTCTAAATTCCAAATTCTCAAACACACCTCCTGGGCTCCTTCGAGAGGTTCACTGCAGAGCGCGCACACGAAGGAGCCTAGGAGGTGTGTGCGTGTCTTTTTTGTGAAATTAAGGCAAGCGTTTCCTTGGATATCTCTGCTTTGAATTTGTGCTAAAAATATGTGTGTGTGGTGCTAAAATATTAACCATATTCAAGTTATTATAATTGCAATAAAAATAACTTAAATAATCTTATTCAATTTTTCTCGATAAAAATAAAATTAATTTTTAGTAAAAAATGTAAATATAAAAATGGACAACTGTTAAATTTAATTTTATAATATTTCATTTTGAGTATACATTTCATCTTCGAGTGGCAGCCTATGCACTAGGCCCATTCCCTTCCCCACCCCCATCTCCTTTTTTTTAAAAGTGTTTATTTTCCTTTTGGTTTTTTTAACTTCAACAATTTCAAAGTAGTATTAACTATGTGAGTGTAATATAATGACTATCTCGCTTCGTTCTTTAAATATAGGTGGAGGGTTCAGTCTCATTCATATAAATGGAAAGCACTTTATAGTCAGTCATTTACTCTTTTGTAGATCCTACAACGAAAGGGATTAATCACTGCTATCGATGATAAATATCTTGGGCAACTAAAAAAAAATTTAGAGTAGCATTTAACTCCCCAGCACCACAGAACATAACACAAGCCACACACACTTCTCTCTCTCTCTCTCTCTCTCTGTTTTTTTTCCCCTTTTAATGCTGTCATCCAGTGATCGGATCAGGTTTGGGTTTGTTTGTCTGTGTTCTGGTACAATACAACCAATCGCAACTTTCATCAAAATTTATTGCAAGGCTAACGAAATTAACAGAAAGGAAAAGAATTATGAAGGAACACCTTTCCTCTTTTTTCTTAATTAATGATAATAATTACATCAGCAGCATCAACGGATAATCATAAATATTAACTCTATATATTGACTTTTTGTCAACTTTCTTTAAATAAAATCCTTACATATTCATTGGATTAATGACTTGATTTTTTTTGGATTTAGAACTCTTTGGCAAAGCTCGAAAGGAATATACCAAGGAAAAGGAGCTAGCCAATGGTGCAGATCGAACCAGGCATTAAACCAACCACAATATACTTTATTGAACTGTGGTCAAAGTGTCAGACAGCATTCGATCAGTCTTAATTTAAATAATAAAGTTTAAATATTATATATGAAAAGGAAAAATCTTTTAAACAATATTTAATTATATTCTAAATGATTATTTATTATTCATTACAAATAATCAAAATTATCAACTATGTTACATTAACTATCTAACTAAACTAATACAAGCTTCCATTACCAACTAAAATCACCAATGAATTATCGCACGCACGCCCGCCCTCACATATAACACTAAAGAAAATTAACCAAAAAAAAAGAAAAATATTTATAGAGATTTGAAAAAAATAAAATGATATAGTTCTTGACAAGTTTTGATGAGTTCTTGATCGATTCACTTTCCCCCCCGTTATGTCGGTTTCAGTTTAACTAGTCCAGTCCCTTGACAATATTAAGAGCAACATAAATTTAAAAAAGAAAAATACTTATATGTTTAAAGTACTTATTTTCAATTAAATCAAAATTTATGTATTTTTTATATATTATTTATTCCATAACAATTTTTTGTTATTAATATTATTAACACATTAAAATTCATGTATTGATTTAATTGGATAAAAGTATACTAAATACATAAAAATAAGGGCGTGAACCTTGTTCATTTAAAAAAAAAAATAACCACCCAAAAATAGCACATTCTTTGACTTTGGATCAAAATTTAAATGGTTTAGATTAAATTTAATTTAATTTTTATTGTTTTAAATAACATTTTATTTTAATCAATATAAAATCTAAAATAAAAATAATTTCTTAGTTGTCACATCTAAAAAAATAAATTTATCATATAAAAAATTACAGTTTGAAAATTTAGATTTGAATTGTCCAAAATAAATTGAATTCAGATCTCATTACAATAATAAGTAAGCAGTGCTCATGACTGTAATTAACACTGGATGTGAACAACAAACACAAGAAAAATTTGTATCATTATCAGAGTTACCACTTCACATTCCAAGAACAAGAGACATATTCATTAATATATATATATATATATATATGAATATATACTAAACTTTTTTAGGACACGAAATGCATGTAACTGATTCACTATACGGCCTTTTATTGCTGCCCCTTACATACAGCCTCCTTATACTCAATATGCTATTGAAGATTATGAAAGTACAATTTGTGTGGGATAATACAGATACACTTTGGTTAGATGTAACTGTATATACGCTGCCAAAGAAACAACTGAAATCCATCCAGACATGTCACCAAAACTTCATACATGACTGATTGACATGGTGAACAAATTTCAACGTCAAGATAAACAGGCTCTAATACACAAGATACAATCAACATCATTAAAGAATTTTGCTCACAACTTGCCAGTGTAAATTATTGTAAGAATCAAACTCTGGGAACAGAGACACTATTGACCAGCTGAGTCAGCACTTCCCCAATCATGAAGGTTGATCCATGAATTCACCCAGTCGCACCAGGTGGCAAGTACCACCTTCCCAACATTTCAAAGCAGCCGCAAGCCTCTGTCGATGAACCAATCACAGTTTACCCAGCACAGGTCTCAACAACCAATTAACATATGGTATCTACTCCCCGTTAGAATCACTGTACAATGTGCAGTTTTGGAACATTAAGGATGTTACTATGAGTTCTCCAAGCAGCAGAATTTCTCATCGCATGCAACTAGAAAAAAATTACAGAAGACCGCAAACTATAAATTGGGCCAGGTAGACTGTTCAAGTATTTTTGCTCAATCTGTTTAAATCTCGATAACACCATGAAAAAAGAGGCTACAAACTGCTGCCAGTTAGTTCTTCCCTCTGCCAAGACTCTAAAGCCACTTCACATGGCCCCCCATCCACTCAATTGTGCAAAGCTTGCTCTAAATGGAACAAGCTGGTGATCACCATTGATATTATCTCATAATATTCCATTCAAAACTCTCTGGTAGTAATCATACTGCCGCGTTCGCCATGCATCAAGGCTACTGCTAATCAGCGAAAGCACCAAAGAGACGCATTGCTGTCAAGCCAAAAAGGAAATAAAAAAATGCAAAATACTAAACTTTAACGAAAGGAGTCTACCGTTTTGCAGTTAAAACATAAAATTGAAATTCAAACCTCTTCTGTTAAACTGAGATGAAATCGTTTTCGTAAGTTCTGTATTGTCCGTGGACCACCTTTAAAGCATGGGAAGCCTGATTCCTGATCCCAACA